ATATTGTCCAATTTTAATTTACAATCGTTGTTACAAATACTTGTCAGTAGTGACTGAACTGCCTTCAACCATAAAATCTTACGCGTTGTTTCAAGACCCATGCATTTCGGAAACCTAACCTCTGGAAGCTACAAAACTTTTATTAGGTAATTTAACTGCAGTTTCCCGGACCAAACTTAATTAGCAATACGTCAGTCCCGAAGTAAAGAAAGGCAGACGGGTTCCGCAGAGGTGGTCTCAGAATCTTTTTTAAATTAATCCATATATGTCTAGCGATCATAATTGACCATATTAATTAATCGAATCCAGAGAGAGAGAGAGAGAGAGAGAGAGAGAGAGATCACAAAAGGGGGAGCTAGACATAAATATGTATGCGTAGAATTGAGTCGAAGGTTGAGGGTTCGAATCCCGCTCGTGACACTAGCTTTTTCATCTCAACTAAAACCTTAGATAAAAAGAATAATTAATTGAAATATATTTTAAGAAGAAGCGATAGAAAAACAATAGGTTCAAATTAATGTTATTAATTACAATGAAATTTTTGTTACTTGTACGACAAATTTTTCTACTGAATTTCGCATATAATCATTAAAATAGTCAAAATATTATGATATTATATATATTATGATTTTATTATAAATGAAGTTTTAATATAAGTCATGAATGTAAATTAACGGTTAAAATCTTTTATCATTTTTGGCCGAATTATAAGTAGATATAAAAATTAAATAACATAAAAATTGTTTTAATTAGAAACTATTAAAGGATTACATGGATCTTTACAACTTGACATCAAATAAAATATGTGTACACTGCTTTAACTATCTTTCAGCGAGAATTTAAATTAACCTCGATGCCACTTTTTCAGTTACGATGATATGCTTTTGACCATACAGCCTTAGTGGGTTGATGAGGCATCTGGGTTATAAGAAGGGCGAGGCTACTTTGATATAGTCTGTAACTAAGTTCTCTTTGACTTCGTTTTATTCTTGTTATACTGATGTATTCTGTTATGCTAGTATTTAAATATTAAAATTCTATGCACTATTTCCAATTTTTTTTTGTTAAATGTTATAATCAATATTCATGTCGTCTAAGGCAAAGTGTAAGGAAAGAAAGTTCATCTAAATTTGGTGGTCGATAATCTGCGAATGGTACCAGAAAAATCAATAGCCATTTCGAAGATTTATTTTTCCATGTTTAAACCTTTATGTAATATAACAAGAATTAAGATTTTTTTTCTTTTCATCGAACAAACTGCCTTTGCACCGTTTACGTTATTTCTTTAAAGAATCTCTTTTCATTTTGTAAACCCGATTCGGAACAGGTTAAGCAATAAAACCAAACTAAAAAGCCTAACTTTTTACCCCCACCCTTTTTAAATTGCAACGAAACGTTTTCAAGAGATTAATTAATAGTTTTATGTAAGATCTTGGTTGAGATAAAAAGGTTGAGTTGTAGGTTGAGATGGAGAGTTGATGTCCGAGAAGATCGAAATCTCGCTAGCTCAAGTGGTAGAGCAGCGGCGTATTTAGCCGGAGGTCGTGGGTTCGAACCCCGCTCGTGACACTGACTTTTTTATCTCAACCAAGACCTTACTTAAAAAGAATAATTAATTGAAAGAAGTAACTTGGTCAATTGACCACTAAAACATAAATGGTTTTCAAGAGATTTTATTAGCGAATTCGTTTTATACCCTTTAGGCCTTTACAAAAGGGCGTGGAGTTACGTGGAACTTGCCAAGGTTTAATAAACGCCCAATCCTATTGTCAGTATCAAGTTGGTTAAGTAAAGGGATAAAGTGGAAGCCATGTCAACCGAGCTGACACACCCCCGATGGAGTCCATAATGATACCTCACGTTTCAAGGATCCCAAGGTAAAACTACATAATTTGCACGTTTAGTCTACACTAAATGTTAATTGAACGTGAGCTCTACGAGCGGCTTAAAACACTAAAAACCGTATTTTATAAGCAAGAAAAATACCTAACTTGAAAGAAATGATCAAACAATAATTGTGTTATTGACACTGCCGAGCTTTCCAGGCCAGTTGGCGCTGATGGTTGTTTGTAGATTAATTTTTTAACTACTTTAGACAAGCCCTCGGTAAAACTTGCCAAACGGCTTAAGAAGCCATTACCGAATTTTTCTTTAGGCCGTTTACGAGCAACAAATTAATTAAGAAGGGTAGCTGCTCGTACTTACCTAATGAACATTCATTTTTAATGTAATTAATTTAAAAAAACCTTTAATATTGTAGAGAGAGAACGAGAGTAAGAGAGTGAAAAAGAGGGAGGGAGAGAGTGAGAGAGCTTTTTCATTTTTTGACAAAATCCAATCGTTTATTCCGAACAGTTTGTGCAAATAATAATCAAAAATCTTCTAATCCAGAGAAATGAACGGGAAAACAATGTAATATATTGTCCTGCCAATAATACTGAAATAATACTTATTTAAAAAAAATGATAATGATTAAAAAAACATTATAATATTAGTAACTGGATAATCCCTTTTTCAATTTAATTTGAAACTTCACACACGAAAATTAAATCGTATTATGATTAAAGCGGTTTACTTTTAAGCTTGTTATTATATTTTAAGGAAAAATTAAAATTATTCAACATTTACATATCTTTTGCTGTTTAAATATTCCCAAATGTTTAATGATATATTGCTTAGACATAAAATACAGTTTAAATTTTTTATGATAAATTATGAGATCGATTGGATTTTTTGAATTTATATTCCTCAAGTCGAGATATTTATTTATGACGTTTTTTACAATTTTCTCCATCTTAAGCTTGTTTATGTGCATGAATTGATGGCAAGCACGAACTCTAGAAAGTAAACAAAGCAAAAGGGGGGAACTTTGCTTGCAGTTTTTCTTTGTCTTTTCCTTTTAACTGTGTTTACCCAGATTAAAATAATGCGCTCGTCATTTAGACTGGTTATTGCTAAAAATTTAAAAAAAATTAAAGCTTTAGGTAAGATTTAATTGGCTAAACTTTGTCAGGCCTTTCGTAAGATTATTAAACAGATTTTATCTTTTATTATTATGTTGCATTGACACTAGGTCCTTCCACACTCGCTGGTTTTTTACGTTCCTTATAGAAGATGGCGGAAAACCGAAATAAGTTTGAGTAAAGTAATTCAGATATCGTGAGATGAGGTCGGGTGTGATGTAGGTTTCAGAAAAACATTTTCTTTATCGTGCCAACGTTTCGACCTTTTATTGAGATCATCTTCAGGGCTCAAAGTGTTTGTCTTCTGTGTAATTCTGCCATCCTTGTGTGTCGTGTTGAGAGTGCCAGTTTGAGTAAAATTGAAAACCCGCGATTGTATATGAATGCAGTAAATAGGCCCGTAATAATTCAACGTATGTTCCTTTTTTTGTTGGTAATGTACAATTAAAAACTATTTTCTTCTATCTTATTTTTAAAAATAAATAACGTTCTTCTTTGATAAAATACATTAACAAAAACTGGTCTGAGTGGTAAAATAAATATGGCGCTGTATCAGGCATTATTTCTGCCTTTTTGCACATTATTTTGGTCATCCGGGCCGGATGAGCGATAAACTAAGCAAGTCTGTGCGTTTATTTCAAACAGTGGTTTGTTTATCTTATAATCTAAATACTGTTTATCATTTTATCATCTCTGTTAACTGGTTGGACCTATGCCGAAGCGAATCGGACAACTTTGTAAAAGATTTAACAATTTTAATATCTCAACAAAGTTTAGATAGTTTTGTTCGTCTGGGATTCGTTAAACATTGGGGAAAATTATCAAGTTAAATTTCTTCTTGGTGTCTGCATTATGATGAACCTAGTTTCTTTGTTTCCGATAATTTTAGTATGCTCATCCTTGCTATTTTGGTCTGTAAGACATGTTTCCGCTTTTCGACAAATCCTGTGTTCGGTCTGTGTGATTTTGGTAGTCAGGTTTATTTTTTAAAGTCTTGAGGATTTTTTTTTGTATACTGACAGACTTGAACAAACATAAAAATGTAATTACTGCAAATCTAAAAAACAACAACATTAACGTCCTAGACATAACAATCACTAAAACTGATTACAAACAATAAATTGCATTAGAATTACAATTTCGACATTTAAAAAATTAAAATAAAAAGTTACATTTTAAATTAAAATATAAAATTAAATTAAATTAAAAAACATCGTCTGACATCACCCCAGCCGACGCAAACCTTCCCCACAGACAAAGTATGTTGTAAAAACCAGCGGAAAAAGTTGAAATTACAAAAAGCGCCATCGTTAATAAAACACTTGATAATTTTCTAGAAACTGCAATTCAAAAACAACGTGGGTAGCTGTAGAAGCATCGCCATTCACGACATACAAATAAACGGGACCAGATTAAACAAAAAACACACAACACTACTACTGAATATGGATAGAAGACAAAACAGCGATATTTGAAAGTTAACTCTCCTAAAAAGCGATAATTTATGTAATGTAGTGACGTTCAAAACACCTATGGCTTTTATTATGATGAACCGATTTTTTTATTTTTTTTTTATTTTTTATTTTTGGGTGAACCACGCTTTCCAGAATGTTAAAGACATATTTTCCTTACAATCGTAATTTTTGCTCTTGGACGTAAATTTGCTAAAAATTTTCTCAAATTCTAATGTTTTTTACGATAAAAATACACATTTTAAAATCATTTTGTCTTTTAAACATAAAAATTTTATCTATTTTATTTTTACTATAAAAATAGTATCTGCGAGGTAATTAAAATATCATGTCGTGTAAAAACCATTAGATATTTTGTTGATGATTTATTCTTAGGTTTAAAAATGCACCATGGTTAATCTATAATTAATTTATACATTTACATTGTTGTATTTATTATGTATGCATATGAAATAGTTTAGCGAGCTTACAACGAGCAGAACATATGCTATAAACATTGGGAAAAAGTACAAATAATAGTCTCGTAATTTTGGCATCGATGACATCGTGGAAAGTCAATACTCACAATCAAGTAGAGCCGGATTGTCGGGATATTTTCCGCTTTTTCTCAAGTCGGCAAATAGTTACGAACTATCGCGACTCGTCTTTCGTTTCCATATCTGCGAGACCGGCCGCCTCTTCGAGTTGAAAAGCGTGACTGAGCTGGAGACTTGACGGCGGCAAGTTGGCCAACCCAGTGGGTGGAAATATCCCACGGTGAAAAACCGAATACGGCATTTGCTCATGCCCGAGGGCAAACAGGACCTCATTCGGGACGAGAGGAGTGAGAGATTAAAAAAAATATCAGCAACCATGCTAAATAACAACGTCAAATTGAACTTTCTCAATAATTCAATAATCATGCAGGAAAACAACTTAAATGAAATGAAAAAATATCCATCATGCTGGAATATAAAGCCTTCGTAAATAATTAATTATATATACAAAGATTCGACCTTAACAAGAACAAGTACACATTTACAAAAGTATATACACTTAATGTGAAAATTTTCTACTATGGAAATTTAAGGAGCAAATAAAAATGTTCCTGGGAAGTTTAAGACAAAAGATAATCAAAGAGACGAGACTTAAAGATGGAAAGGTATTGGTGAAAAGAATGAGTAAATGGAATTCCATAGGTTGGAAGCATGGATGATGAAGGAACGATTGAACTCAGTAGTTCTATATATAGGGGATACAGATAAGAAGGCTACGATGATTAAATTAAATTAAAGATAAGGAGATCTTATATGTAGGCCGGAAATTGGGAAGATATATATCATTTAATAAGGGAAGAAGCCCAGGAAGTATCGCCTGCGGTAGGGTTATAACCACTTCAAGTTATCGTGCAGATCAGTTACGTGGGACTTCATTGGGGACCCTAAGACAAAACGTACAAAATAATTTATTTTATGTTTAAGTTTACCTTCAAGCATCACGACCCTTATTAAAGTGGGGGGAGGGACGTCGGTAGCCGCAACGGTTCAGGCGTTGACACGGCGTTCATCACTGTAAGGTAAAGGTCCAGGGTTCGAATCCAGCGGCCCTGCATTCGTACCCGACATACTTACAAATGGGCCTTAAACAAAATGGGGGGAATGAAGTAGGTAACTAGGAGTTTACGTACTAAACGGGATAAGGTGGCTGGCAGGTCAGAGTTGATGAGGTGGTTCTCTGCTGCGTCTGTAGCGTCGGGAAATCTGAGAAATATGGGGCGTACAGTACGAGGATAATCCCAAGGTTCTTGACTATGGGAAGGAAATAGGGTGATTGTCAATGTAACGGAAGGATGGGAGGTAAGGAATGGAGGAGAGAATTGGTTACAGACGCCTCTGAACTTTCTACTTTCAACTTAAAAAGAAGAAGAAATATATCTTTATTCTGGGACAGTGTCTCTTTATAATAATACAATGGTTTAAGTGAACGGATGTTTCGCTAATCATAAAGTGCAAAATAGAACAGAGTCAAAACAGCATAAAAATAAATAACTTCTTGACGGGAAAATGAAATGAAAATCAATGTTTACAAAACAAATAACCCGACAATCAGACTAAATATAAAAATTAAAATTAAAATATTTCAATTTTAGTAAAAATGTAAGAAAACGATTCAGTTTGAAGAGAGAGGACGTGATTATATAGGAGGGATTTGAAGGAATTAAGAGAGCTGGCTTGAAGAATAGAATGAGGGTGGGAGTTCTAGAGTTTGGGGGCATGGGTCAGGAAGGATCTTTGGAAAGAGAGGGTTTTGTGTTGGGGGAGAATAAGGTCACTGGGGGACGATCGGGTTTTTAACAGTGGTGACAGGATTTGAATTGGAGGGATAGGATGATGTACTGAAACGACAGCTAGGAAAACAATGAAAAACATGTAATGAGGACGACAGCTATGAAAAAGGAAGGATCCTAGGAAGTCCGAATACAGACGAAACTTTCAACTTACACACCAATATATGGATATCTTTAAAATTTCGCTTGTAATTAGTTTATCATTAAATATAGCTGAAACGGCACACTTACTAAAGATTCAAGCCTTGCCTAGAAACGCAGAGAAACCTACAAAATATTAAAAGGTATAAGGCAAAAATATCGGGTAAACATCCATTATATTTTTAGAAAACTATTACGATTTTTTATTTTAAAAAAATTACCTTCATTGAAACTTACCTTTGGTATTTCTACATACAAATATCTACATGATTTCGATGAGCGGGGTTAGGGCGTCAGACTCAACAATTTTACAAAATAGCGATAATAGTTAAATAGTCGACATTTAAATAATGGATTTTTATAATAGACAGACAGAGAGATAGAGATAGCTTGATTGGTAGATAGATAGAGATAGAGTGAGAGAAAGAGGGAGACTGAGACAGACAGAGAGAGAGAGAGAGTGAGCGAGGGAGCGCGAAATCGATGATCATGACATTTCGAAGACAAAAATCAATTTCTTCAGAGAGGTTCTGTTCCGTTCTTATTTCTGAATACCTGTATCACACCGTTGTAACTACACACTATCCAACTACTTCTTTTCTTTTTTAATACACTTTGAATTTATTTAAGTTTACTTACTCCAGCTCACGCTCTATTATAATATCATTATTTTACAACTTTTTTTCTTTTATCTACCCTTCGCCATTCTCGCTATTTTTGTCTTCACTTATGTATTTTTCCTACTCGTCTTTTTTCTTTATTATTTTAACATTTCACTTTATCTTATCATTATTTATTCCCTTTCATCTTTTTTATATCAATTTTTCACATCTTATATCTTTATTTTCTTCTACTGTTCTTAATTCTGACTTTTTTCTACCTTTCTATCTTTTTTCTATGTGAACGTTTTCACTTGCCTGTTTATATTTATTTATTACCTCTCACCCTTTATTAAAATTTCATTTTTTCCCAATTGATTTTATTCTCATTTACTCTCTTGTTTCTTTTCAGATCTCTCTCTCTCTCACTCTCTCGCTCTCGCTCTCTCTCTCTCTCTCTCTCTCTCTCTCTTTCTCTCTCTCTCTCCTCTCTCTCTCTCTCTATCGATCTATCTGTTTATCTATCTACTCTATCTACCTCTATCTATCTTTACCTCTATATCTATCTATCTATTTTTCTATTTATCTCTATCACTATGTTATTCTTTATCTCTATCAGTATATCTATTTATCGGTCAATCATTATATTCCTATCACCTACCCATGATTTTGTTTAGAACAAAAAGTGTAATTATTTGGAGGTCGTGAGATGGGATCTGGTGTGACCTAGGTTTGGAAAAATATTTTCTTTATCGTGCCAACGTTTCGATCTTTACTGAGATCATCTTCAGGGCTCAAAGTGTTTGTTTTCCATGTAGATGTATTATTATTGTGTGTCGTGTTGAGAGTGCCGTTGATTTTACAAGAAGGGTTTACAAGAAGAAAATACCAAATAGTTTAATTATATTAGTTGTCTGTACAGTTATTATATAAAATAAATAGCATTTGTTAAACTTCTAGTTAGGTTGAATGGATTTATTAGAGAAGTACTGGCTAATAGTGTAATATTGAGCAGCTCACTCCACTAAACCTCAAGTACTAAGGTATAAACTTAACAATTCTAATTTTAATAGGGGTTTATATTTTTAATAAATATAAATGTGATAGAACAGAAAAGTAAGCTTTACCATTAATTCAAGGAAAAATGATATATAATATTTTACACATCTCGACAATTAACAAGGAAAATAGTTAAAATTATTAAGAATAAACCTTTGGAAAGAACAGACCTTGTTAAAGCAACTGCAGAGATAAAGGATATAATATTAGACTCTAGATATGCAACATTTACCAACGTCTTCAGTGCATCAAGAAGAAAAACATCAACGCCAGGTTAGGGAAAAGAGGTCAACTTGTTAAACCGTATTTTAAAAAAAAAATTATAATTGTCTTGGAATTATGTAAGATAAATGTGTGAAATGTTCTTGAGACGAATCATCCTTATTTCATCAAGTATCGAATTTCTTATATCGCGCAACTCTCGAAAAAAGAAGGGGTCAAATTTATCCGTCGAGACTTTCCCCAAATAGGAATTGAAGTAAACTGCTCACGTTCTCAGTCCCAAACAATTGAATCTAGTACCGGTTTGGAAAGTGTAAGCCGTCTTGAAGAAGAATAAAATAAAAAATTGGTAAATTATCTTTTCTCAAGGAACTCTGGTTTGCCTGAGGAGACGCAACAATCAACCAAATCGTACACAATTTAAGATCTTTAAGATCATTAATAACAACTTCTGATTATTAAGGGGTATGAATAGACATATGAAAGAAGAAAATCATTAGCAGAAATGTATCAAGCATTGTTTAAAAGAGAAACATGGCTTAGAAAGTGCTGAACCAAAGGGTTGATTGTTCATCTATTTGCATTGGATATTCTTACATAAATAAAAACTAGGCAACAAAGACCTTTGCTATTATGATATTTTTTGTTTATTTCTTCCAATTATTGATAATTCCTTTGACCAACATCATTGGTGTGGATTGTGAACTTTGTGACGTAGTAACGAGCTTTGACAATTAGTTTGGGAACTTTTGATTGGAAGGATTGGTTGCGCTTGATTGGCTTGGCAAAACCCCACAGTTTCATTACGTATGCCTAAAGTTGTCGCGGTAATGTCTTGTATAGGGTTATTTGAGTTTTGACAGTGAAAACAGATTCATTTTGACAGATAGTTCTTCTATTAAGATGTTGCTTCTTAAGTCTTGTGAAGGTATTTCACGTCAGGCTGCTGACTACCTATCTGAATAGGGTCTCAGTATCTGGCTTGAGTGGAAATCGATAAACTGCTAATTGCTACATTGAAGGGCAAAAATGTTTTTCGATGTAACTGTATATTGAGTACATTCAGTTTTGCCCGCCAATTTTTGAACCAGCATTTGATAAATTCGAGATGTTTTTGGACGTTGGAGATTGCTTGGATAGAATTCAGGTTAGAAGCAGAATCGCTGTGACATCCTCTCATGGTGTTGAGATGTCCATGAAACCAGAGTGAAAATGGTATAAAGTATAGGACTCAGAATGCTTCCTTGTGGAACACCGGCTTCCCGCATATAAGTATTTGTTGCCACACCTTTGAAGGAGTAGATAGTTAAAAAGGATTTCAGGATAAAGAAATAAGGGGTAGGTAGAAAAAATT